ATAACTAGCCATTCAATCAAGATACAATTTCATTCCCCAGCAATTTCCCAATCTCCTCCGCAATCTCCATGATTCTCTCCTCAGTCAATTTCCTCCCAACAATCTGTACAGCAACTGGTGCTCCGTGATATGCCTCCGGATCATCTATTCACACATTAGTGAACCACTTCTGTAACCACGACCAAACCCTCCCTAGAATAAAAGAAAAAAGACTTACATTCCCCCTGCACCACTCCATCTACCTCACTCAACCCCTCATAGCCCTCTTTCTTCCTATCCACCCTCTTATCCGCAAACAATACCGGCACTACCACGCTCGTAAAATCCAACAAGTTAATCACATTCGTAAACCCATAATACACAAACCGATCATGACGAATGGCCGCCGTCGCCGACACAGGTGCAACAATCGCATCGATTTCCCTGCCGAGTTTCTCCTCCATAATTCGGAATTGCTCGAGGTATTCGCATTGGTATGCCCATCTTTGAAGATTGATGTCCCAGAGTTCGTTGAGGGAGAGAGGGGTGTCGGTTGTGTTTGCGAAGTCTTCTATATTGGGTATGGGAGGCTCGCCGGATGCGGAAAGGTCAGTGCGAATGTCCTTGGTTTTGTTTAGTGAGGAGGTCGGTAGGGGACTTATTTATGATTGTTTTACCTTTCCAGCATCTGAACTATATATTTTGTTGAGGAGATCTTGAGCATGGTCATGTTTGTAGGGCTTCCATTCGAAGACTTGATGCCCATTCTGTTTCAGACTATCGACTACTTTTTTGATTCCACGGAGAATTGGAGGATGAGGTAGGACCTTAGTACTTAGTTAGCATTTCGTCGATCCTAAGTATTCGTTCTGTCCAAAAAGGGCGATTAAACACTTCCACCCAGCTGTATCTACTTGAGGTCTCATCTCTACCGCCGCCATAGTCGGAGATCAAATCCATCCCCATTAATTGTGGCAAATGAACTGTCAGAAAAGTGCTGAGGGCCTTGAAATGAATCTGACACATACTTTACCATCAAAATCATAATATCCAATCGTCAAGCTACCATCCGAAATTTTAGACTTTATAATATCGGCTTCCGATTGCCTCCATGGAATAGGAACAACTTTAGCATCAAATTTCCAAGGTTCTTCTGCAAGAACGGATTCGACAAATAATCGCATATCTATAAAAATCAGAAACTCAAACACAAAGAGTATCAAGAAAGTCCGTGGTAAGTTCAACATACCTGCAACTGAGTGTGTGATGGGACCACAAACACTATGTAGAGTCTCCTGACCCTCCATACTATTTGCCATCTTACCATAAGGAAGACGACCGTGACTTGGACGTAAACCATACAAGAAATTGAATGCCGCTGGTACACGAATAGAGCCACCGATATCAGTACCGACACCAATGATTCCACCTCGGAATGCAATATTTGCACCTTCACCACCTGATGAACCACCGCATGACCAATTTTTATTATAAGGGTTCACCGTTCTACCGATAATATTATTAATCGTTTCACAGCACATCAAACTCTGGGGCACACTGGTTTTCATGTAAAAGACGGCCCCGGCTTTGAGTAAAAGCTTCACAAGAATTGAGTCGTCACCTTCGTATTTGCCAAGCCATGAAACATATCCCATAGATGTCTCTAGACCCTGATGAACACATAATAAGCATGAACCCTGTAGTAGAATCGCAACCTACTCACCTTAATTCTGAATTGATCCTTCAAAGAGATTGGTAGACCATGAAGTGGACCAATTGTTTTTCCCGTTTTCTTATAGTGCTCATCCAATTCCTTAGCACGCGCAAGAGCCATCTCAGGAAAGAATTCGAGAGCACAGTTTAGCTTGAAATCATTAACATGGCTCATATTTATCCGTGAACTACTCACAAGTTGATGCGCTAGAGCAGCTCTTTTACAAAATGCCGTTGTTACTTCAACGGAAGTCAACTCACCCTTTGCCATTTTGGCTACAAGATCAGTAGCTGATGAGTTTGTGATGGAAACCTCGTCAGTAGACATCACATCACCAATGTTAGTATTTTCAATCACATTATCTCCAGTAGGCTGGGATTTCAAACGCCATTCCGGAGGAATACTTGCGTCGATTCGATCTTTCTTATCTTTTGCAATCTCTTGCCAAGACATGATGCTTCAATTCACAGAACTAAATTGCGGTTGATATTTGAAGTGGTCCAGATCTCTGAAGGTCCTGGGAGAGAGTGTGAAATCTGAAAGAGTGGCAAGAAAGAACAGGAGGATAGCACGACGTTATCTGATAGTGGGGTCAATGTACCCAGTATGTTGTACCCTTGTAGGGCTTGAATTAGTGACTGTTTCTTGTGTGGGGAAGCTGAGATACTAGTATCTGTAGACCAGGTTTAGGCAGTGACTAATGATGCGCAGCAAATTTTGATATGAAGAATCGCATGATACTCAGGGGCATTGGAAGCAATATTCCACGAAAACGGTAACACATACAAAGTCTCATGAGCTCGATACAGGTTTCCAAAGATGTAGGACACATAATACAATAAGACCAAATCGAGAACCATAACCTATTAAAAAAGACTGGGGTTGAATGTTTAAAAGAGGACGCAAAATAGAATACAGCAGGGGAACCGGGGTGCCACACATCTCAAGCAAATCATTTATGGATAAAAGCAGAACCAAGCTTGTCGAATGGAAAGAATCTAGTGTATGGAGCATCTTATTACCAACGACAATATACCTGGTGCCTCATCTAATTAGATGTAGAAGTTCGAGCTGAAGGACGAGGTGTTTTTCTTGAGGATCCAGACTCGGACAATAACGGTGTACTCTCAACAGTGGTTCCACCTTCGTCATCTGTATCGTGTTCTCGCGAGCCTGCAATATACCCAACGATACATCTTCCATTGGACTGCTTAAAGTTAGTGGGTGTTTTTGAACCAACGGTGAAATGATTTCACTTACAGCTCCACCCTCATTAATCTGTCTCTCCCTTCTAGCTTTGAGTTCGAAAGATATTCCCATAACCAACAAGCATCCTTGTAAACACCCTGTGATCAGGAATACACCCCATGTACTCCAACCACCAGCTCCTAATCTAGCGAAAAGGCTCATGGACCACACAAAGCTGCCAGGAGTTTGAATACACATCATTGGTATACTTAAGCTTCCAATATGACCAAGATTGTATGTCAACCAGATTTGAGGTATATATTGGATACCTGCAAGAATTGTAGCTATTATACCCAATGTGTTGGCCCATACTCCAAGTACATTAGGATGAGCGAGTGCCAATGATGTACTGACAACGATAGTAACGAATCCATGGAAGAGACAAACCAAAGCTACCGTGACAGCTGTGCGCCATGTATGTTGTTGTTTGCTATCATCGAGTGTAGGAAGGGTCGGAGTTCGCGGGAAGAATACCATAAAAAGGACTAATCTATATGAAAGTGCTATTAGCATTTGATATCTTCATTGTGGGTGATCGCGTTGCGTACATTACACTGAAGCAAAACCATTGAACCCCAACTTGGGCAATACCAAGTAATCCTGCGGCACATTCAAAAGTGCTAACAATTTTGCAACATGCCACATCCGCGCGAGATGCCGGCAGGACTATTATGTTTGCAAAAGCGCACGTTCCAGATGTTGTACCGAGAAGAATAAAGAAGGGGGATATTCCCTCTGAGGTTTTGCGACTGATAATTCGATAATGTTGAGGTAAGTAAGAAACGAGGATTCCAATAAGAATGAAGCTGGATGAGGTAGATAAGTTAGCAAGTTGCCCTTATAAATGAACTGAGAAGTCTGAAGAACCTTGGAAGCTTCTTACATAGATACTGCGAGATTGATGTAGCTCACATCTTGGAGCTTTTGGCAGCGGTCTGATAAGTTATCCGTGATAGACAACATGATGATGAATTGTAAATTATGGATGAGATAGATGAATCTGCCGATGGATTATCAGAGAATCCAAAGCTTGCTATTCTTATGGTGATTGAGTTCAGATCATTGGTAAGTAGTTGTGAATGTTGATGTTTATCTCAAGTGAAGCTTTCAGAGAAATGCCATAGCTACCGGTCCCTACCTAAATACATAATAAGGTACCAACAAACATGGATCATCAACACGCTCAGACACGGTTCTCCCATGCTATCAGCTGATAGGAAGCCGTGAAACACAGGGGTAGCTGTTCTATGCGGCCGCATCGTTCCGTGATTACTAATCAAAATCTTCAAAATACCAGGAACCACCGGTGAGCCACCACCACTACTACCGCTTCACACCTCCAACAAACGGTGAACCCTTGGTACGACGGTGGACCCTTGAGTATTCGTTAGTGAGAATGTTCACTTCATGGATCATCAGATGCTCAAGTGGCCGTTCCCATTGGTGTATATGTTCAACCTTCCTGTACTATCTTTCCCTATTGTCTAGTACTGACTATCACAAAGTTCTGTTTCTGTTGATCTCTCAACATAGCATGATACAACTTTTTCATCCCACATTGTCTTAAAAATGCAAGAGACCGATGGCTGGTGAGAAGTTAGACATCCGTAAGTATATGGAAGTTCGATCTCTATTACAGCCAACTATCGAACAGCGAATTGCGAAGGCATCATTTTCAAAGTGTTATCAGCTTATTCCACATGGATCTACCATTCGAGCCTGCATAAACACCGATTTTAGTGTCGTTGACTGCATTTACTATTCATCCCCACTGTAACCCCAGCTCCGGAACTCAACGGTCTTCGAATATAATCCATCTTTGTCATCAATTTGAGTGATTCACGAATTCAACAAGTTCCTCTTCTTATCCATCTACTTGCCTCTACATTTGAAATTCTTCATAAGCAAAAGTTTCTCGATACTTCGCAAACAGCATCTGAAGTTATGAAAAAATCAATATAAATCCTTTCACCTAGCGTCAGTAGTACACTCACAGCAAAGACGGATCTCGTTCAAGTGATTTCAATCATTTTCAGCCCTTTTCACGGCTACATACACCATGATACTCAACACGACTAAAGTCCCACAAATGCAAAGTAGATCTTCCAAACGAAGTCGCAATCGTACGCTACTCTCATGTACGGAATGCCACAGGAGGAAACAAAAATGCAATCGAAATCATCCCTGTAATGATTGTCTGGAGCGACGTGTTCCACACAAGTGTCATTTTGTGATACCTTTGTAAGTGTCCATTGACATAAAACCAAGAACTTTTGTTGATTTAAAGGAACGAAGAAGAAGGAGGGATTCAAAACTTGATTATCAAACCACAAAAGCTGCTCGTGATCGAAGGATACTGGCAGGGGAGGAAATTCTACTTAGTCTTGAATCGGTCGACGATCTAAGAAGTATTGGATCATCTTGTGCATCCACTCGTGCACCTACATATTTGACACGGACTTTGTTCTCTAATCATGCTTCTAGTCATGATATAAAACTACAGGCTCCCTTCTGGCCCAATCTAACGAGTGGGATTCTGAATGGATTCGATCCATTCTCAATATTGCCAGATACAAGTGGAGATCCACTGCCCAAATCAATTCTCATAGAATACTGTAAGCAATTTATTTCTCATATGGGATAAGTTTTACTGATAACAGAAAGTTGTTAGGCAATTAGGTCCGTGGCTTGGTACATATGATGATGCTAAAGTTGTGGGTCGCCCAGCATACTCTTGGCTACCATTTGCTTTGCAACATCCCCCGTTATTCTATGCTACATTATTGGGCGCTGCCGTTCATCTAGACCGCAAAAGACCTATAAACAAACGCAGTTTGGTCTGGTACAAGATTGAGACTATGCGTTTGGCAAATAAGACAATGAATGTACCTCACGAAGCTGCTACGGATCAAATGCTTCTAGTAGTTTTAATCTTACTATACTTCAATGCAAGTCTTCACCTTGATATTCAAGTGCCAAGCTGACAGTGATCCTAGGTTGGTGGTGGAGATGGAGAGGAATACGAAATGCATCTTTTGGGTATCAACCAAATGTTAACCATTAGAGGAGGTACAGTCACTGTGCACTTCTATTAGCCGAAACTCCACAAAACGCGTTTTTTCACACGTTACACTCCCACAATCACATTTTATTATTTTAATTATACTTTCAATTTATAATGTATAATGTATTGAAGGTACACAAAATAATCCTTATAAGCATTTTACTCTATATATATATAGCAAAATAGTTAGCAAAATAGAAAAAGATCTTAATTTCTATCGAATTATAAAAAGCTTCAAACTCTTTTATAGAATTATATGATATACTCTCTTATAAGATTTAATATACAATAATAATATATATTTATTATATATTAATTAATCTAAATTATATATTAAATAAAACAAACAAATATTATTATAATATATATAATTGTTTTTAAAAATTATATATAAATAGATTATTCAAAAGGTTGGATTTGATTATAATATTAAAACTATTAAAAGGATTTTGATTAAATATGGTATAATTAATTGAAGGTGTAAGAAAAGATTAGAGTTTATATTAATATATATTGCTAAACAATTTAAATAATACCTAGCTTATAGGGGGTTAACAAATAAAGAATAGAACCTAATTATATAATTAAATAAATACTTTGTAGAATAGGGAAAAGGAAAAAGATTAGAATAATATTTTTGTATTAACTTTTAGAAATAAAACTCAGAAATAGTCAAAATGTATAATACAAATAAAAATATAAAGATTATATACTAAAAAAGCTTTTAAAATACTGAAAAGAGTAATCTATATATAATAAATAGGGATTTTGAGAGTATAAAATATGGGTATAGTATTAAGTTTTATTTCGAGATTCTTAAAGCTAAAGTAGGTCCTATTTTCAAAAAGCTTGATTTATGTCACGGTCATGGACTAAAGGGCTCCATTAGGCACGTGATAGTAAGCCCTCGGGCCTACCGTGTGCCGAAGGGAGCCCGCACACACATATAAATTGTATAGTTTTCATAAGTTTAGAAGAATTAATGAAAAGTCTTTGTGCTACATTTCACCTAGTTGATTCATTGCTAGTATCTACTCTAACAATTTAGGATATGAATTTATATAGAATAATATTTTTATTTATTATATTTATAAAATATAAGATTGATTTTAAGAGAAGAAGATCCCTTTATTAAAGGATTAACCTTTTTATTCCCCTAATCTCAATTCTATAGAATATATATAATAAGCTCTAAAGATAAGAATATATAAAATGTTTTCTAATGTTATTATTAATAAAAGTGAATCAGAATATACTTATTAAAGGCTAGAGAATTATTTATAGATAGTTTGGGATATATTAAATAAAGAATTATTTAATAATTTGAGAGTTAATATATCTTCTAGAATTGAGACTTGTATTATAACAAATGGTTAATATACTAAATATTAATAGATTAAAAATCAATAATAGAATAATTTTTATATATATTAATAATATAAGAATACATTATTCATTTTTTCAAATTTAATAATTTTATAATTCTTAATTGATTTAATATTTAATATTGAAAAAGGGTGGTGCAATATGTAACACCATAAAATAAGCGGGGGCGGATATAAGTGGCCTAGTACTATATGGGCAATCTGGGAATGAGAGGTATGATTAAAAACTGGCTGGGAGTTTGTTACGGCCCTTGGCATTATGATTGGCACTATGGTCTTTTTGTGGATTTTTATGGCATCAAACGACAATCGAACATGTGACGAGATAGTCAAATTCCAAATTTCGGTTTGCAAGACTGTCATAAAGTTTGAACTTCCAAAACTAGTCCTTCTCGAATCACATATCATCAACCAAGCCAATAACTGTCTGCAGCCACTTTACCTTACAAACTCTTCTTCCAATCTTCCACGGTCAAAACCTCATTTGCAAACAACGGCCAGATAAGATCAGTCGCAGCATCCTTTACCACGGTATTGAAGCCTGCCGTTGCATCTTTAAGCATAGTTACATGATATCCCCTAGTACCGCCATCAGTCACTGTCCAAGACAAACAAATCCAGAGTTAACTTACAATTCATAAGCATATCTTGCTGTGGATTCCAAACAAGTATTTGCCGTCAATCCAGCAAAGATGAGATGGGTGATGTCTCTTTGCTTCAACTGGTAATCCAAATCGGTGTTTGAGAACGAACTATTTCTCTTATGTTAGTCACCTTCTCTTTCTCATCCACATCACCAGAATGTACGACATAATTCATACCTGCTGCACCAATGTTTACTAACAACCACATCTCCATTTCCCTCCACATCTGGCTCCAATCCTTCATAAATCTCAACCCCCCATGATCCCTCCTCAAAAGTCTTGTGATCTCTTTGGCCCTGCTGCGTCACAGTTGGATGTTGCCAACCAGCTAGAAATCCTGCCTTTACCTGTTGATGCAAACCATAATAAATAGGTATTTTCTGAGCACGAGCAGTCGTCACGAGATTCTGGAGATGAGCAATGGTGTTTGTAGCGGCGATAGATTCGGCGAGAAGATGATAGACTTTGCCTTTGGGATGGAGGAAGTCATTATAAGGATCGATGAGAACGATTGCGATTTTGTTGGTGGATGACATTTTGGGGGGATTAGTTGGGTGTATGTAGGAAGTAAATAGGTATTGTGGTTGAAGAATGATGAGTTGAGAAAGTTATTGGAGTTGGATTGAATGAATTGAGATGGAATGGACTTATCTTGTGTCTTTATGCATCTCTTCATGAGCTGATTATACATAAGAGAGCACCCCTGATCAATAGACTAATATCGGCTTTTATGCATGCACGTTTAGTGGAATATTGCAAAGCACCATATTCTCCTTGCTTTGTCAACGGATTATTTAAACTTGATACAAATCATCGCCGCCTACATACAAATTGCCGCATCTAGTATCGGATGATACACCTTATTGTTAGATTGTTAGCTTATATGGCTGGGATTCGGAGAACACTAAAATCGGTATTAAGGCATGATTAGATGATGAAATGCGGGGTGCACACAAGGCTGAATATTGCCAATGAAATGGATTGTTTGAGGCTTGGGGATGATGACTGTGCGGTTTATGTTTTTTTGTTTGATTATTGTTTTATCAAGATCGGTTAGTTGCTGTTTGTACTACCTGTATATATTGCTATGAAGTTCAGTGTAAAGCAGAACGTTTTTTATTTTTTGTTACACCATCTGCTGATACGTTTGCATTGCATACTCTAATTTTTGGCACGTCTAAGTAGGCGAGGAATGGTTATCTTCCATCAAAGACCCTAACTTCAAAGCAATCTACTTTTTGAGCGTCATACTATTCATTCTTTATGTCATTAGAAGATGAATTTCCTATCTCTTCATGATGATTTATAATTCATAGTGGTTCATTTCCCTCAACAATTTTTTGTCAGACAGTCAGTCAACTTTGTGACAGCAGAAATCTTGAAACAAGCGAACTTTATCACTCGGAAAGACTGAGCTACCACAAACGGTTCGAAAGGTTCTACAAAGAGCGATTCGTGCTCGAAAATGTTGTGCATATTGGCTTGAGTCATCCAAGTTTAGGAACCAATCTTCGAACAGAGGTCATCAACATTTCATTGAACTTCCACAAGATATTCTTAGTACTCTCGACCAGAGCCAAAATGGCAGGAGACATCCGAATAGCACCGATGTTCCATGCAAGACCTCAAGAAAACGCCAAGACACAGAATCTTCTTGGACCGAAATATCTAATATCTTTCAAAACCTTGACGTCGAAGACTGTTTGAAGGAAGACAGTGAGGTCGAAAATAATGAAGAAAATCCCGAGCCCAATGCTGTCACCCTGGACACTTGCGAACTAGAAGGAGAATCCTTGCAGATGAAGATGAGCATGATGATCTTCTATTTCTTTGAGGATCTTCATCGAATTCAAAATTTTCTACATGGAATATGGAAAAGATACAAGGATAAAACGCTGGATCTGCTCAGCGCTACCTTGATAACAAACACTGCATTTGAGTTAGTTCGTCGCAGTGAACAGGAAATCCTAGGCAATGCACCAAAGTTATTCTCAAAGAAACGATCTTATGACACCATTGCAGCTGTCATCTTCTACGCAAACGGACTCGATACTGGGAAGGATCCTACACAGAAAATGGATCTAAAGGAATGGCCACGGCCTACACCATTTGACGACTTCATATATCTATCTACCGCTCGCATTTTGATGAAATACGATAACCTTTGGAAGATGGAAGCCGCCTATCCCATTCCCTCACTTCCGTTACGGGCTGGCTACATCTCATGTCCGGAAATCCTGGGAACTCCTTATATGAATAAAAAAGAGAAGGAGGATGTTTTACTTTCACAACTCGTCATTGATCTCGACCTGTTCGACACATATAATAGACTGACGAAAGAAGATGAAATTCGAGGTCCAACACTATATGCACCCCCAGCCGCAGATGCTTTGACTGCTGGCTTACGGAAATTAAAAAATGAAGGACGCGAGGATTGGGGGATATTAGCTTGCAAAGGCCGACGTAGTCTAGATTCCTGTCTCTGGCTTCCAAAGGATACCGCTAGTGGTCACTGGTGGGATCCTAGCGATCTACATATGATTAAGAAGATAAACGAAATTAATTCCAGGTATACCGACTACACAATGTTCAGAAGACTCAAAGAGTGCTTGGCGAAATCCAACTGCTCAGAGCCAGATTGGGGCAAAGCGAATCAAAACGGGTCGACTTCTACAACGAGATTGGTCAATCGCTTGGATCAAGGATCAAGTAGCACTTCTGTCCTCCAACCAATGGCCAGCGAGAATACATACCACACCCAACAAGGAAACCTTCCAGGAGTACATTTCTCGAATGATCTAGTGCTAACCAACACCTATACTCGATTTCCAGAGTGCGGCTTCCGTCCGAATGGCAGGTTAACCCATGGTTGAAGCAAAAAATGGTTGGTAAGCATTGGCGCGATTACGAAAGCTGGTAATACCGAGACACACAATCAGCAACTCATTGAATGTGTCGAGCAGCTCGATATTCGATTGATAAAGCCTCACAGCGATTTAACGTTTCTCTACAAACAGAATCCCGTTTACTGTGGAATGGTTGCTCTCAGATTATCGACGAGCTACGACGAGGCTGGTCTTTCCCATTCTGATTTTCACCTCGTCATGACATTCGCGGCGCATCTGTATCAGGAATGTGTAAGAAACAACTTCGTTCAGAAAAGATGGCCGGCAATGGAGACAATTATAGAGCTACACAAGAAGGAAATCTTCAATGGAACCGTGCCAATGTCCGCAGACGAGGCATACAATATATTCTCCAAAAACTTCCACCTCTCTAAGGTTTCAAATCAAGAATATATCAGAGTGAAACCTTCACCGAGTTTGAGAATGCCAAAACTATCAAGAAATGCTCTCAGTCTAGCTATCCGTCCATTTCTAGAGCACCAAGCAACTTTCAACGAAACCACCAATAATCTCCAGAACCTAGTTCAATTCCTTCCATTGGCAGTAGTGATGAATAAAAAAAATCGGATTGCCAAACGACAACTCACTTCGTTATAATTTCTTCGTGTTTTGGAAGATTTTCTGCCCGATGAGATGCCAAAAATTCAATTCGATTACATCTCATTGACAAACATTTGTTATTCCCTGTTGGAGAAAGTTCGACTGGGAATCGATCCTACTGGAAAACAGGAACCAAAGCGTACATCGCCGCGTAGAATAGAATCAGCATTCCTGTACATGACCTTGGATATACTATCTAAAGGAAGGACTGGTGGCGAAAATCCATTATTGAAGATTGCAGCGGGAGTATTCGAGAAGTTTTTGGAGGAGGAAATCTTGAAGTAAGCAGTAAAAGCGCATGGTGGTTTTATTTCAAAGTGCTTCGCATCTAGGGAAGCACCGTGATATTGGATAGTCGTGATTTAAAGAGGTGGGCAGGAATAATATTGGTTAGGTTGTGAAAGCAAATTGCCTTGTAGAGAGTAGTGAATTGAATTGATTACCAAAAACAACCATTATTTTGGTCTTCGCTTCTGAACACATCATTGCGGAGAGAAGAAGATTCCGACTTATTCTTATTTCGAATGTCTGGGTTGAGCTAGTTCCCATGGAACATAGATGCTGAGCACCAAGAATGAGTTCCTAGCCTACATAAACTTCTATCTAGACTTTCTTTGATGGCTCTCTGTTGCACATCTATGCAGGGATATAATATAAATTTAAACTCAGAATGATTCCAGGATATAGGAAAGTAAACTTCTAGCCCCGAATCTAAGGAACTCTATTTAAATACTTTCTTTGCATAAAAATGGAAAGACTTCTTACCAACCTCTACACTACCGATCGTTGCATATCTGTCTGCACAGGGATATCTCTATACTAATATTCCAATATGCTAATAGTTTACAATCAGCTCGATATTGCAGTTTTTACTTAATTTCGAGGAACCTAGACTAGAATGCTAGTTAGCTGCTAGCTCTTCCGGCTCCCAGCTAGAAGAATTTGATCACACACCACTCCTAGCCATATACCTCTCAGTTCCTCTTATTAATACCTAACGTAAAAAAAATGAAGCATATCTATACCAGATTCCCGAACGAAGTTTAAACTAAGCAATAAAAACAAGCCAATATCATTCAACTGAAAACCACAACGCAAACTTTTGCAAAGGGGTAAGTTTTCAAAATCGCATTCATAGCAGCTTGCTTTACATTCTTCACCCATACTCGTCTACAATCTTTGAATACCTAGGTACATATCCACAAGACTTTTCGGTTCATGATATTCACTATCAGAAATCCTCATCCTATATATAGAATGGTCGTGATCGGCTAATAAATCTCATCAAAAAGATGTTTTGTTGCACATCTGAATTCGGGTCTTGTTCGGCTCTCTCGAAATCGCGAATAGAGAGAGCCGAGAGACCACAGATATAAACCAGTCGTGATAGGCTGAATCCGTGAAATAAGAGTTTTGCTGCACATCTGAATTCGGGTCTTCCCCGGCTCTCTCGAAAGCGCGTCTAGTATTAAGAACGCGTCAACCGCATGGAAGAGCAGATTATTATGTCAGTTGACATCTGTCATTGATGTATCGATTGAAGTCCAACCTTTGGCCACTGGAATGCTCTCCGCACTGCCATACCTCAGCTGCCATATCTTGGCCACTGCGAATAATTACGGACGCATATCTCTCGCCAATGTTTGACCAACGACCGACAGACCCAGACTTTTCAGATATGCAACAAAACCTCTCAATCAAAATCATTCGCCACTAAAGACTCTCATCTCACATGTAAATTAACCATGATAGGCTAAGAATTACAATTAAAAGGATTTGTTGCACGTCTGATTTCGACGGTAAAAGTGAACTGCTACTATTCCTTCCTAGGTAACCATCCTATCCACCTCACCAAGCCTTAGCCATCTACCCAATCTCAAACCAACACCCAGCACAGACTCCATCTATATTCACCCCTCTCACAATACCTCCAAAGAATATATTAACATCATCCGCCAATAGAAATCACGAATTGGGTTTTTAGAAGTGCAACAAAACTCCTCGTTGAAGAAAAGAGAGGCGTATTCACTTGCGGACCGTCTAGTATCGATATTGCATGCATGAGTCTTATTTACTTCAGAAGACCTAAATTCGTACGCTATATCATCTTGATTCTGCGTGGCGGTATATGTATGAATGCTACCACTAATAACTCTTCCGACGAATTTCACTTGCATGCCACATCGCCTAAGAAATCCAAACAAGCAGACAGGGGAACAACCTTGTCAAGATCATACATTGTTGTCCAAGTCGGATAAGATATGTAAAAGTAGGTGGCCATCAAACCCATCTATCTCCCTCAATGGCGATATATGAATCTCCACTTATACACATTCCAAGAGCACTGCATATCGCAGAAAAGTGTCACAAACACAGGTGCAAACTACTGAAATAACGACTTCATAGAGTGCCATTGCTCTTAGCTCTTTGAATGGCAAAATTTCAGGACTCAAACTTACTAAAATCTGAAAACCACGATTCATCCAAGGAAATACCATGCACTAGCATGGTAAGGCAAGAGCCCAAGTGAATTTGGTGTGATATCTACTAGAAAGCCTAGAAATGGATAGTTGACGAGGCTGTAATGTGAGAACTTTCTGCTATAAAGCATAACATCCAATAAAATGAGGATGATATAACAAGTTTCAGACGAGGGGAAATGGGGGATATCAACTAGCACCTCTTGATTCTCCGGCTGGCAGGAATCATCCAATGGATGGTATCAAAAGCTAGACGACAATGAAGTGAGTCGAGTTGAATTGGTTTGAAGATGACCTTTGATGTATCTTATGTATTAGTACATAAACTGTATATTGAAGTCGACTAGCTCTATTAAGAGTTTAAGAATCAATGCCGCATATCCTCTAATCGCGCCGTCATGTATGTTTGACACGTATGCTCCATCTATATACCATAACGCCTTGCAAATGCATCGTACTAGTTCCATGATTCCATGATAGCTTGTATATCCATCCATAATGTGTCTCCAATATGGGCATAAAATGAGTCACAATCTCCGTTATGCCCAATGCCCCTCTCAAACTATATGGACAACCCAATTGCGCACAAAACCTGCAAATACGAACCGATTACTCCAAACGATTCATTAATCCTTTCCTAACTTTCATATTGACAACCCCTCCAACACCAAATGCAGGCACAATTCTACATATTCTAGCCGCAGCACTAACACCCCAATTTTTCTTGATAATACTCCACCTATCTCCCCACGTAACACCTTGACCTCTGTTATATAAATCCAAGCCCAACAAATGCATAGGCGTACTCAAAAGTTGTACGGAAGCCGGGGCCAAAAATTGGGAAATTGTTTGTCCGCTTATGGATTTTTGTAATTCCTCAGACAGGTTCTTGTTGATAATTGGACCAAGCATTGGTGGTATGTTGAATGAAGCAAAAATGGTAAGACAATCACGAGCAGTGAAGAGTACATATGACGGAAGTGGTACAGGTCTTGGTGGACCGGATGGACCAAACATACGTGCAAACGTTTGATCTTTGAAAAGGCACAATCCGATATTTGCGGTCGAACTGGCAACGAATTTAGAGGTCCCAGATGTGACTGTGGATGCAGGTTTATTGTGTATGGTGGATGTAACAGTATCGAGGGTGTTGGCTGTTAAATATGTGCCTCCATATAACATACATATTAGAGCGAACGGTTTCGAGAAGATGAGACTATGAGGTCGGAGAATAAAGCTCTTGAGAGATAATCGTAATGATTCTTTGAGTGTCGCTTGACCCGAGGCATTTTGCATGATACCTCTGTTATAATATTAGCAATTGGCGCAAGAGTCAAAGAGTTGAAACTTACTTATCAATGATAGTGATAATTGGCGCAACCATAGTCGCAGCAGTGGCACCAGACACAAAATCCACGCCCAATCTATATGGCAGATTCTTTGTATTCCATTCTTGAGGTTCTGCTATAGGTTCTGCGAGTTCAGGACTTCGAGTCACTGTCTTTGGGTTGTCAATTTTCATAGGGGATTTTGGTGACTCCATCTTGTGTGAGTCTTCTTCGGATTTCATAAAGAAAATGCCATCAACAATCAACCAACGATCAATGTCTCTCTACAAAACGAATGATTGAGGAATGTAGGATCAATTGAATTCGGTATCAAATATATAAGAAGCAAACAATTGCTTAGAAGAGGCTTGAAGAATGATACCCAGGATCCGAGTAAATAAAAATTGTATCTCCGTACAATAATAAAGTTTCTTGAGTGGAGGCCGAAGTCGCACTGTGCAATCAAAATGTGAAGAGGGAAAAAAGCAATTGATAAGTAGAATAAGCTTATCGGAGAAACCCTTTACGATAGCAACCCGAAGCTAACCGATTGTGTGCAGCATGAATCAATTTCTCGACATCAATGAAGGGGTTTCTCTTCTATTTTCTACTTTTTTCTTTCTACTCACTACAAATGAAGTGATTAATACCAACGCAATGGAAATATAACTCTATCTATATTGTCACCTCTGCCGCCAAAGTAGTAGCACCAAAGTACGTGTCCTCTACAGCAAACGATAGCTTCAGATAACCGTTCCGGGGGAAAGAAGCGGATCCGAAGAGTAGGTAATAACAGGGGCACATCCTACCTCACAATGATTCAACCAATCATGAAAACTAGATTAATACCCCCCATGTTTCTTCGCTTAATGAGAAAGATCGTCGTGACTTTGACATCAGTTCAGAAGTTGTCTCGTCAGCTCATCACGATGGGATATACAACCTGGGAGAAGTAGCAATATGGAACCGGGAAAACATGGTGATTCCTTTGAAAAAGAAGAACTGACAATGCGTGATTCTTTACTCGGCGATGAAAATGAAGACCCATGTCAACTAGAATCTCAACAAGATGAGAAGCCACGGATAACACGGTCCGGACACGGCTTGCGAAACAAATGGATAGATAGGCTAATACTTGGCTTATTGGTATTCTGGGTTTATATGTTCTTACCATATGGTAAAGAAGTATCCGATGAAGATACTGTACTTCGTGAGGACGATTGGTCTTGGGAATCGGTACGAACTTTGATTAGGAAAATTAGATGGAACTGACAGAATATGATTAGATCAAGCCAAATTCTGAATTAGTTTGGCATCCATGCTTCGATGAATTTGACTGTGCAAGATTAGAGGTATGACTACTACGTTCGTCTATTACTTTTTCGTTACAAGCTCATGGTATACTCTCAATATAGGTACCACTAGATTGGCTAGAGCCTACCAATTCATCAAAAGTTGTTTTGGCTGTCTTGAGGAAAAATGCAACATCAAAGGTGGATTATAAGGGTCCGCTGTTCGTGAATCCAGGAGGACCTGGAGGATCCGGTGTTGGCACCGTGAAAGACTTTTGGAAGGCTGTTCATGTTACTGTTGGAGCTAACCACGTGAGTCCTGTTCCCGATGACTTGAAGTCCACAACTAATAAACAGAATAGGATATTATTGGATTTGACCCTCGTGGAAGTAAGTCTGTAGCATTGAATAGAGAGTGAGATGGTGTATTAACTTTACGCAAAGTTGGCGCCACTACCCCTTCCGCTCATTGTTGGAATGGACCACGAGAGGAAAGAATTTGGGGCATTCAAAAACTCGGACTTGTCGACTCACACCCAGGAATGATTTATGATCTTTATGCACATCAAAGTGTCAAGTCTAGGAATTGTGAAGCCAATCTTGGTGATCTATCACGATTTCTGGGAACAGCTTCTGTAGCAAGAGATATGCTAGAGATACTCAACAAGCTCGGGTATGAAAAATTGAGATATTGGGGTCTAAGTTATGGTACAGTAATTGGAGGCACCTTCGCAGCCATGTACCCTGATAAGGTTGAGCGTCTCGTTAGTGATGGTTAGTATTATTTCCGACTTTGGACAATGAAGGCTCGCTAAACCTCTGTTAGGAAACGTCAATTACTCAGAATGGTACAATGGAACCGGAATCCATTATATTGAGGACACGGACAAGGTAATGCTAGCTTTCTTTGACTTATGTCACAAGGCGGGCCCTCAAAAGTGTGCGCTCTATGCCTCAACGCCTACAGCGATCCAAGAACGACTCGAAGGTATCTATACCAAGCTTCAAAAATACCCATTGCAAGTCTTCCCTACCACGAACACCACCATGGAGTTGCAGTCCTTAGGAATCACTCGACCAAAAGTCCTCACTTATTCGGATGTAAAGAATGCAGTCATCTACTCACTCTACCAACCTTTAGCATTATTTCATCACTTGGCCAAAGCTTTAGCTGCACTAGAAGCTGATGATGGTATACCTTTCTTGAAATTGGCTATAGCTCAAGGACACATTCAACCAAGTTTCACATGTAGTTGCGATTCCCCTGACTGCGAAGAGGAATCCGGATGGCCTCTAAAAGCAATTGGAAATGGCGACGCAGCAACATATGTGAAATGCGGAGAAGGTGACGCCAATGCGGATAAAGATAGCTTGGAAGTTATGATAAAATACGAAGAAGAGTTACGAAGAAAAAGCCCCTTATCCGCATCGGTCATGTTCAATATTCGCCTATCGTGCGCAGGCTGGAAGTCAAGAACAAAATGGAATTTCGTAGGTGAGTGTTCCTTCTATCAATCCCGTTTCTCCCCATCAGATATGCTGATAAGCCTCACAAAAAAGGTCCATTTGAGCAAAACACCAGTCATCCCATCCTCTTCATTGGCAATTCAGCAGACAACATCACACCACTGGGAAGTGCAATCTACAACTCACACTTCTTCCCCGGTTCTTCCGTACTGGTACAGAACTCCTATGGTGTAAGTTCCTCCCATAACAATATTCGGTAATCCACAGCTTATCAAATCATCTAGCATACATCGGCATCCTGTCCTTCAAAATGTACAGCCAAACATCGCCTTGCGTATTTTCAAACCGGTATTCTCCCGTCAAATGGTACATTGTGTGAGCCTGATTTTATACCATTTGGAATTGACACTGAAGGTATGGATTCGCAAAGCGACGGAGATGAGGAGTTGGAGTGGGCGTTGAGAGAATTGATGAAGTTGTTGTAGATATCGTGTGCTTTGTTTAGTTCTTTTTCCCTTTGGGCTCTATGTGTAAGAGAGGAAAATTATGATTGTTGGATGGGAGGGTCTGCAGGAAGATCAAAAAAGGGATTGGAGAAATAAGGCCACTAAAATCATGACTTGAAGTGTCTTGAGACCATTCCTGCTCATTAATACTCATAAATTCCGTGCTATATAACCCTTTTCAATGTCCTGGACTTCCACAAAACCCTGGGTATCTCACACACTATAATATGTTAACAGAGTAAGGCAAACATTCACATCTAGCAATTGACCATCTATATCATCACCCTAAAATCTATATGTAGCAAAACCATCCATCTATCCCATCTCAAAAAAGCCCCCCACCCCAGCCCCTACAGTAGACCCCACACTAACTCTCCCCCGCAGTCGGAAACGGCAACTTCCTATGCATCCTCATGACCACCTCCGCAAAATCCCTCTCATTCTCCTGACTCAAAATGCCATGCCTCACAAAAAAATCAATCATCACCACCGCACTATTCGTCTTGAACGTCCCCTTCCCCAACTCCTCCACCACCTTCTCCACACTCCACAAATAAAACCCCTCCACCTCATCATCCCCCGGCGTCGGGATCGTCGCTTCCCCCACCTCCAAATCATACACATATATCATATCCGCCGTCACCAACCCTCTAATCCCTCCCGACCCCGCTCCACTACTCTTCATATACGTAATCACACCCGTGGATTTGACATGCGCACGGATAAGCTCCGAAGACAACGACGCCTCTTCGTCCGCTTCGTGAACGATGGTTTCAAAAGGCGATTCATCTGCGCGTACGCCCCCTGCAACCGTGGTATCGAATTTCCCCGGGTACGTAAAAAGATGCGCGCTGCGTTTTGCGACCCAGATTTTCATTTCGCCTTCACCGCTGCGGGTGTAGATGGTGAGATGGGCACCCCGAGATATGGTGCCGAAGAGTGAAGCGGCGTAGCGTTCGAGCTGCACGGGTTGTTTGGCGCCTGGGATGGCGTAGGGCTCGCTGTGTTCGCCGTGGAGAGTGCTGAAGATATCTTTGTCGATTGCTTCGTTGATTACCTTTTCAAATGCGTTGTTGCATGTAGTGGAGTAATCGTTGGAAGCGATATCGGTGGGATGCAGTTGGACGCTTAGGGGAGGGGTTTGGGTGATGGTGAATTCGGGGGACCAGGGCATTTGGGAGACGATTTCGGGAAGCATGTAGCCATGGACCCGGCCATCGTCTGGGAGGTATAGTTTGTAGAGTTCATCGATGTTTGCATCGTATGGAAAGCTAATAGCGGGTGATTAGTGCTATGGCTTGTAGGGAATTGATTGTAAACTTACTTATCACAAGCTTTCACAAGATCAAGATAGGACTTCTTCGAATCTGAAGACATGGTGATTGATCATACGATGGGCTTGAAAAGTGGGATAAGTTAAATCCGACAATGTAATATCCTCAATATCCTGAAGTTCCAAATTCCAACCTAAAGAAAAGAACAGAGAATCCCAACATATAAAACCAACAAACTGATCACGAAATTTCGCGTAACGTGATATCTTGAAGATGTTTCCAAAGTCATTTCCAACAAGGTCACACTTTCTTAGCTTAGATAACCCATCTGGCCTGTGTGTCCTGTATCAAAATAAGCGATACGCTTACCTGCCCTGCCCGTCCAACCCCTTGCACGCTCTACCCCGCATTACCCCAGAATAGATACGAAATACCACCTCCTCCTCACTTCATGCAACCATGGGCTGTTATTTGAGACAAGAGAGGATGTGTATTCTTCTTGTACTCTTACGGTACTACGCAGCAATCTATAAGATACGATAAGAATTGATCCCTTGAGAAGAATATACGTAAGTTATCACACGATCAACTCAATACATTTCACGAGCTTTTGGTCGGGATATGTTGTATATATAGGTCGGTACGAACAAGTACTAGGTAAAGACCTTTCCAACTCCCACCCCTTCATATCACACCACATCAAGAAATTCCAAACAAACAAACAAACAAACAAACACCATCCAAATCCCACAAACCCACCATTCCAACCCCGGGCTCTGAAACCCATCGGGCTTTGAACCGGGATCTAGTTCCAATCACCATCATCCCATACCATCTCAAATCAAAAATTAAAATACCGGGATTTGTATCCCCTCCCTCTCTTCCTCACTCACACACACTCGCACATAATTCTCCTTTCCATCCCATGCCATCCTATCCTATCATAACCATTCAGGCTATACCCCCTACACCCCTCTTACCATATCCATCCATCCATACCTACCTATGTATGTACCTCCCAACCTGATCACGAGAACGTACCAAAGATACATAAACATGCTCTTTCCTCCGAAATACAGATTGGTCGTTTACTATTCTCTCCTTCCCTTTCAACTATCTATTTAAATCTGAAGTATCGATTTCTCCAACCTTTTTCCCTCTCACCTCTATAACTATCCAAAATCATCGCAATTTTCCTCTTTCCTCATTACTCGTTACCCATTACCCATTTCACCACCACAAATCTTCCCTCACTCCACCCAGCTCATCAGCTCATTCCACCAAATCTCGTCCATCCAACCCTCACACCTAACCCTCACACCCCCCCAAAATCCAAATCCCCAAAAATGCCCCGCCCAACCCTCCTCACCACCCTCCTCACCCGCACAATCCGTCAATCCTCGACCTCCACCACCGCCTCGATCAAATCGCTCACCCCCCGCCAACCCATCTACTTCGGTCCCAACGTCTACTGGGGAAAAGCATGGAAGAATGTGTACGGAACGGGGTTACTGTATGTTGAATTTGCATCTCTTCAATTATTCATCTATTCATTCCTTTCACCTCTTTTAAATTATCCCCTCTCCTCTCCCTTCCCCCCCAAAAAGGAAAAAAAAAAAGAAAAAGGAAAAGGGAAAGACTCCATACTATGCCATGTTATGCAATACCCTACCCATTCCGTGCTAACACCCAATCCGAATAGTTACGTCCCCGTCGTTGCCGCAGTCATGTTTTGGCCCGTTCCGATTGCGCCCATGATGAATTTTTCTAAGGGGGTTAAGAAGGAGGGCGTGCTTGCTTGAGATAGGAATGGACTGATATGATGTGGGATGTGCGATGGAATTTGCTGGCTGAGGTTTGATTCAGACGAACGTGCTGGAGATCGCTGCACATGTACGACAAAGGACGATAAATGAATAATACAAGAGAAACATATGATACTATCCCATCGTGATTCTTTCATTACTATTTCGTGTGCTTGCCCATCATAATAGCTAACCGATTGACCTAAAAACAATTTGGGTATATCCTCTTTTATACACAATAAACACAATCTCCTGTCATAATATCATTCAATACATGTACTTCAAATAATACAGACCAAAAATTTCAAACGCAAAACACCGCCATCGAGATTCTATCCACTCAAACTCCCGCTAATTTGCAAATATTACAAGGAACTCCCCTTTGTCAGATACTGTGCTATGATACCAGCCTCTGGCGTTTCATATGGTGTCCTATACTCACTCGTTCCTCGACTAGTAACCCCTCCAATATCAAGCCCATTGGTCGACGTAAGACCACCATGATCGTTATCAAAGTATCCCTTTTCTTTTCCCTTTGAGCTTGTCATCCTGAATTTTTCCAGATTGACTTCACTTTTAGTTTGTGAAAGATTGGCGCTGCCAGGTCGTTTCTTCTTTTTATCCCCTTTTGCTTCTTTCCGCTTTCCGACCAAAGTTTCATTCTCGACCGAAGAATTTCCAGCTGTACGCATTCCTCTAAACTCTCTGACAACTTCAGCAAACCCTTCCTCTAAAGTCTTCATCCTTGCCAGCATCAATCTTCCCATCATACCATCTGCAGTCTCCTCTTTTTTATCACGTTTCATCGCCATCTTTGTAGCGATAGCCATTTGAGTTTGAAATGAACTTGGCACTGCGCCAAGTTGTGCATGCTCAAGACCCATTTCCGATAAACTGAGATTCAAACTAGATTCTTTATGACGCAGAACGCGATTACGTGCAGGATCTGGTTTAGTAATAATTGGAACAGATTGAAAATTTGTACGGTTGGGTAAAATAGGACGTGGTCGAACAGTTGTATTGGTGAAGTTGGCGGTTTTGGGAGTACGAGATCCTGATTGGCCTGCTGGGGTGTTGGTCCCGGTATTCACTTGTGAATACATTTTTGCTGTTAATGGTCGTGAACGAGGGGGAGAATTGGACGAAAATGAAGAATTCTGAATAAGAGGATTGAAAAGAATCGTCGTCGTCGATAAATTCCTATCATGAGCCTTCTTCTTTGGTGTAGACTTGGATTGCTTTGAGGGAGAATTGTTTTGTTGAGTGATATCTTGTTGTGGATTGAAAGCCGCAATGGGAGAAATAAATCTCGTTGCAGTTGGTGTTTGAAAATACTCTTCTTCCGATTCAACACCACTTTGGCTGAAATTTGTCGCTGTATGTTTATCCTCCTCGTCATGTTCGTCTTCATCATTAGACAACAATTCATCATCTCCATCTGCATCTGTATGACCTCCACCAAACTCATTTGGATGTAATTCATCATCTGAAAGTCGAGTCATGTCATGAAATCCTGTAGACATAAATTCTGCTGGATCGCTAGCCACAGATCTATTTCCGGAAAGCTGACGACTGAGTGCACGATGTCTCATGGCATTTGCTTGCCTAGATTGTCTTCGCATCTCTAACCTTTCCAATATAGAACGATCTTGTTCTTGTGGTGGACTAGCAACGTCTCCTTGACGTTCCATCCAGTTATTGATGACAGTCTGAGTTTGTCGACGATCAAAACTAGGACGATTTCTACCAAGATTATCCCTCGGCGTTAGCCTGAAAACTTCATCAAGAGCTCTGTCTTTTTGAAAACCAGCAACGGAAGATTCATGTCTCCGCAAATTAGGACTGAAGAGTCCATGCCTACGATCTTGGAATGATATTGTTCGCTTCGATCGTTGTCCAGCTTTCTCAACCAAATCCGTAGGTTCAAAGACAGATCTTGCCAAGAAAAGCTTTTCGTAGACACATATACTGAACAATAAGGGAAAATGCGTCATTTTTATGACAGTACGATTCATCTTGATGAATGTCCTGAAAGGAAAAAAGAATCTGAATGGTGTAAGAACCCAAGCAAGAATGTTCGTAGGTG